TTGATAAATCTCTGGTGGTTGTACATTTATTGACACATAATCACTCCATCAAAACCATAAAACTAATTAAAAACGTAAATAATTACAAAGAACTTAATATAAGGGAGGCAATAGAAATATTTAAATATAAGAACAATTTAATTAATTAAGATCTTGGCCTACTGAAAAATTCATTATTAAACATGTGTAAATTGGCAAAATGTGATAATATTACTTACTGATAATGTCACTAGGTTATAAGGTCATTAGGGGTTAAAGGGTTTTATTTCGGTTAGGGTGTCAGTATGTATTTAACGTCGCTAATGGTAACATTGTTTCCAAAGTACGTATCCGCGATTGTTTATAGTAATTTTTTTGAGGCTTTTGGGTTCAGTATTTATTTTATTTATCAATTAATTAAAATTTTTTGAATTCTCCAAATTTTTCACAAAATCTTTTTGTTGTTTTTCTTTAAATTTGATGTCCGTTTTTACCATGAAGATAAGTCCAGAAGTCAAATTTATATCAAAATAAAGTATATTACATAAACTATAATTAAAGGTATATATAGAATTGTTAGTATTTCCGAAACATTTTCTAAATTTTTTAATAGTTTTTAATAAATGAGTATTTTATCCTTATGATCATCTTGTTTATATGTAAATAAAAAGAGAATTAGTATACAGTTGTATTGACAGTTTTCACAAAGGAAGTGGTTAACAGCTACTAACGGTTATCTGATTTTGTGTGACTTATAAGACTAAAAATAGTAGTGACACGGTAAATTTAGAGTTTGTTAGAAAACGTGCAATAGCGTAGGAAAAAATATGTGAAAAATGAAAATAAATTACAATTACTTTTATTTTTTAGATCATGTATTTATGCTAATTGAAATCGTTTACAGACTGATCGGTTTAACATAAACCTTTAAATTATTTGCTAAATAAATACTGAAAAAAAAGATTTTTAACATTTTTCAGTTACATATAATTTCTTATATCTTAAAGGGATGTTGACTTTATTTTTTTAAATTGTCACATACATATTTAATCAACTTAAAAAATAAAAAATTATTAATTAAGAAAATGACTGGTTGATAACAACTTTTGGATCAGTACTTTGGATGATATTTTCATTTTTATACCTTGATGAGCGAAGAGTACGGACAGGAAATGATTAATGAAATTATAGCAAAATCCACTCGTTACTTCTTCTTATTAATAGCTTCTGAATTACTAGTCCGAATATTGTTATCAACCAGTCATCTTCTTGATTAGATGATTTTCTATTTTATAAGTTGATTAAATATGTATGTTATCATTAAAAAATATAAAGATGACATCCCTATACTTAGGGATTACTACTTATTACTAAAATATAATTAATACCTAATCAAAAAATATATATAACTAAAAAAAAATCAAAATTTTTTTTCAATTTTGTATTTTTTGAGAGTAGTTGAATGATCTATGATAAACCAAACACCCTGTAAAATAAGCACACATGGTTATCAAATTTCATATTTAAAATTTTAATTTTATATAGAACTATATTTAACATTTTTAACTATATCTGAGCGGACCTATTAAATAAACTGATATTGAACACTTTTTTGTGCTTGTATTTTGAATTATTTTAGTTAGATTACTTTGTTATCATATTGTAATAAAATCAAACTCTAAATTGGGAAAATGCGTTTACATATTTTTATAATTTATTTGATAATATGCTTAGCTCAACCAATATTATCTTTGATTGAAGAACAGATGAAGATTTTGTTACAAAAACCAATTTGGAGAACTTTAATGACACGTTATCCCAATTCAATTATAATAGATATGAATAAAGAAATCAAAGTAAGTGAATTGGTTGGATTAGATTCTAACGTTAATATTGTCGACAAAAATAATGTAAATGATAAGTTGCGACAGTTTTATATTTTATTGAGCAGTTTATATGGTGAATGGATGTTTAATTTTCTTGAATTTTTGTATACTATCGAAGAACTACATGAAATCATTGGGTTTAGTTGGCAATTGAAAAATGACTTATTAAAACTTGTTGAATATTGTAAAAATATACTTTCAATGATGTGTAGTTCACTGTCATTAATTAGTGGACTGTATTGCTGCCCATTTGATTATTTATTATTAGATAACACCATTTGTGATTTAATTAATAAATTGAAATTAATTGAACAAGTCGATGACACTGAGTTTTACAACTATCTTAACAATATAAGATCAACTTTAAAAAATTTTTTATCAAAAAAAATTAGTGTAGTAGTCGATACAAGTAGATATAATGAATATGTATTTTCTATGGTAAATTATGTGATGTTATTAAAAGAAAAAAAGTTGTCAGAGGAAAATAGGATGAAATACTTTAAAAGGTTTCTAAAGGTGGGAAATGACGAATTTTTAGATATTTTTCAAAAAATTGGATTTAAATACAATGAAGTTAACAATCTTGCAACCTTGATACTTTGATAATTTTTTAAATGCCAAATTTAGTTACTTTGTTAAATGCTCAATTAAACTCAAGTATAACTATATATATTTTCCATTTATTAATATTTATTTATATTTATGAATAAACGATATTTTCATTTTTAACAACAATTTATTATTCGTTTATTAATAAAACATTTAAACCATTGATGTTTAGTATTCAAAGACATCTCTATTCGTTTCTGAAAGAAAAATAATTAAAGTGCTACGATTATTTAGATTACATAATTAATTTATATTGCATTTTTTGAGTTTAAATTATTTGAAAAGTTCGTATAAAAAATATTATTAAAATAATCATGTTTAAAATTATTTTGATTATTAAATTATAATTTTTAGAATAAACCAAATTTTATCAACTAAGGCTATTTAATTTTAAATATCTCCAACAAATTTAAGTTTTAATGAAAAAATGAAAAATATCTAAAATATAATATAATTCAATGTGATTTATTAAGTTAAATACCTCCCATATTTTCGTTAAATAATGATTTTTTCATATAAATATATAAAGATAAAGATTTAATTTATTTTTACAACTCATTTTAAATGTTGAGGTAATTAAAGAAAAAATGATTACTTATGGTAATTTTTTTATTAAATGAAGAATTGTCTATAAAATTTTAATTATTAATAATTAAATTACTAAAAAATAAAAAATTTTTACTGGTTTAATATAACAAAGAAATGGGGGAAGTATACTTAATAAATCACACTGTTAAATATATCATAGTGTGTTATAAAATAATTATATATCTATAAATTTATTTTCAATATATTAGTACAATCATTCAAAAACTCGTCAAGTAATGCTTAGAGAAGTGATTAAAAATTTAATCATTTAAATCTAAGCATTTTAAGTGAACATTTAGCTTTATTTAATAAAAATAAATGTTCATTTAAAAACATTTTTTTTTCTGTGTATACGAGAATATCTTTATAGTGAATACGCAATGTTAATATAATGATATTTCAAGTGTTTTTCGAAATGATAACATAGGTCTTCAATAATAACATTATAAAACTTTAAATAATACTTAGACAACTATTTCCTTCTTATTTTTCATCACCTTTATCGTAACGACTTGTGGTCGATCAATTAATATTATTAAATAAAATATTTTATTATTTATAAGGATGTAAAAAAGCAGTTTTTTAGTGAGTAATTGCAAAAAAAAAAAATTACAAGAATAGTTATGTTTATTATTAAGTTAATTACAAAAATTCTATTCCCTTTTCCTTACTTAATTTTAACAATGATAAGATAAATTAAATTGTACAATGATCGAATTGGACACTGAGGGTATACCGTTAATTTATATTGCATAAAGGTGTTTTAAACAAATATAAATCACTTCCGAACAGCGTTAGTTTTAGAAAAAGAAAATGACACCGTCATAACATGGAACCCACATGGGGTTAAAACAGTGTTGGAGAGTTATTTGTGGTTTGTACAGGTTTTGCTGGAATTAGAGTTTTTGACAAATCCTAAATTTATATCCCTCTTTGAGTGGACAATAAATTTGTAGAAGCCAATATTAACAAAATATTTATTTATATCTGAAATATACGAATTTTCAAACGTGGCAAGAGGAAATTACACTATCTGTTTGTTACGGTTGTAAGGTAGCTTACTAGCAAAGAGTCCCCGTGCTAGGATTTGACTAGCTGAGGACTTTAAATCTTTATTGGTAGTATGAGGTGACTCGGTATCTAATTCACGTGGAAATGATCTTTGTTTTTTACTAAACTGTCTGGGTATTGTTTGCAACTAAGGTACAAAGACTACTTTTAAAAAGTATAGGAAGAGGTTCAAAGTGGACATCATCATCGCGTTGCAATCTTTAGTAAGTGAAGTCTAAGAAAAGAAGTTATGAGTGGATCAAGATAATCATTCTGGTCACCATTACATTCAAATAAAAATTCGACGTAATCCAAAACATATTACGCAATGTATAAAAGTTCCAATGAGAGTTTGGGATTAATTAAATGGGGCGGACTTTTAGGCTTTTAGAGTAAAGAGTAGCTAGTTGGAGATCACAGGATAATAAGGAATTCATTGAACAAATTCTTGATCAACTAGCAATGGATTTTAAATGAAAAGTATCATTGGTGTGAGATTTTGCTCTATCCGTCAAGAAACATGCACACAATGGCAAATCCCCGGTGTACTGGTACACAAGTAAAATAACTGAGTTAAAAAAGGAATGCACCAAAACGCATAGAAATGTAAAGTGTGAGATTATGCAAACAGTGTTTGGTAAAGGTGTCGATAGCTTTGGGTGCTTGTTAGTTGATGACCGCTTAGTATCTTAAAAATAAACTTGGTGAGTGTGGCGTCATACAAGATGGTCATAAGGAAAATGAGAAGTACCTTTGGTCGAATGGACAACGATTTTACAAGAATATGACGACTAAGCTTTTTCCATATGACTCTGGAATCATCTTAAACGAGATACCTGCCCATAAGAGAATATGGTACAGTTGTTCGTGCAAGATGAAGTAAACAAAGCTTTTTATCATGTTAGTCTTAAGAAGAATGCTCCTGGGCTTGATTTCATAACCAATAAAATATTGGCAGCAGTTTTGTAATTGAAAAACAACTGGTAGAAGCCCTGAAAACTGAATAATGTGATTATTCTAATAAGCTAACCGTTATGCAATTCAGCAATTAAGTGATGTTGAAGAATAAGAAAGCCGAGTGGAGCAGACAGGATTCAAAATCCGGCATGAAAGAGTTTATAATTTTGTACAAGCTTACCGTCAGTTACCAGAGTTTTAAGGTTTTTTGAACCAAGCTCGCAAGAAAGAAAACTATATATGTTAATACCTCCTTATTATATTATTTTGTATATTTACCATGTGTGTTATAGATATTGTAGTTTTTTGTTTCATTATTACTAGTACAAATAAACGGTATTAGACAACTCGAGGAATTAATTCTTTACAACCAGTTACCCTCGAATAGTTTTAGAATGCTTTGTGAGAAGAAATCAAATAATTACTATACACGTATACTAATATATTATTATATATATTATAAATACTTAGAGAGCTTATTAATTGACAATATTCAAATATTTTGCTCATATAAAGAAAAAATTAGAGAAATTTAGCAAAACTTGATTGTTTTCATTTTAAATTAATTATCATTTTATTGTTCATTACATTTTTACGGATTATCAGTTTATTAGTACGCAAATTTTTATGAATATAGAAAGAAAAATAAAAACGCATTTTAATAATATTAACACATTATTAGTTTTACATAAAAACCAAAAGAATAATTTCTAGTTATAAGGTCTAGTTGATCTATAAATCATGTATTTACTTAAAAATTATTTTTAATTTTATTTACAATTAAATTTTAAATAGAAATATTCCTCATAAAAGTTGTTAAAACAATATATAGGTGAATAAAAATTTTGGAAACCTTCGATTCAATTAGAAATTAAATTTTGCCATTGTTGAGTTAAAATATATTTTTAATGTTCAAATGATTAATTAAATAAATTTCTTGCGATTAAGTTAAAATAGACTTCCATATTATAAAAATAAAAAATATATTATAATATTGTTAAAATTTCATGTTTCTATACTTGAGAATTGGACAACAATAATGTGCTATGTAATAAAAAATAAAATAAAATTGAGTTAGTCCTAGAAAAATATTCTAAGATTTCAATAATATAAAATACAGACTAAGTACTTAAAGAAGAAAATATAATATTTTATTTAAAATGAATCGAAAATAAGCAACAAAAATATATAAATAAATAAAGGGAAAATCAAAAAGAGCACGTTTTACATTTTTATAAATTTTAAAAATGACGAATTCATAAAAATAATTTTGTATGTATCTAGCACACGTTATTAATTTAAAAACCTTATACGAAGTGATTGTTTTAGAATGATTCTATTGTATCGCGTTGGCGTCACATGGTCATTTTGAAAAATTTTAAAAAGCGAGAAATGGGTGTAGTTAGAAACACGTTGCATACTCATCACGATAATAATTAAAAATTATATAAACTCAGAAAGCAATATTGTAAAACTGATTATGAACTAGTCAATTTTTTTATAACCCATTTCACATTTATAGAAAAAATATAATTAAAGGTTCCTACTAACTTTTAAAAGTTATCATTAAAATATACCCTTAAAGATAAGTTTTTTTTTTAACAAACTTGGAATTTACTATGATTCATAAAATAAATCAAATTATAATCTACAATTTTTATGAAAATATTAATATTTAACAAAAAATTTGGAGGGTAGTGTTATTAATACATCATACTGTATACGATTTATTTTTCAAATAGTTTATTGTCATCGTGTTTAAACAGTTTTATTTTTCGTCATATCTTACTAATAACATATATTTATTTAAAATATAGTAAACTAATATATTAAATTATTTCGATAGATTCATAAATGGCTGCTTTAAATCGTGTAGAAGTAATTTTTTTAGTTTAAGATTTTATTATTATATTACAATTAATTCATTTTGAGAATGTATTTACTATATTTCACAATATTCGTGACATTGTGTTTAACTGAGCCAATATTAGATTTACATAATGAATGTATGGATATATTGCTAAAAAAACCTTTTTGGAATAATTTAGTGTCAGAATTTCCAAATGTAGCTATAAAAGATGGAACCAAAGAAATTACATTAAGAGAATTGTTTGGGCCAAGTTTAAAGAATAAAATTGTTGACGAAATAAACGTAAACGAGAAAATGCCACAATTCTATAAATTGTTGAGTATTTTTTATTGTGACTTTTTGTATAATTTTCTTGAATTTCTAAAAATTTACAAAGAAAAGCATTCAAAACTTAAGTTAAAATGGAATTGTGAAAATGATTTGGTACTTCTCATTGAATACTATGACAACATATATTCAATGATATTTAATTCACTAGTTTTAATAAAAAGCTGGTACAGTGATGACGCTAGTAATATTTCTATTAATACTGAAGAACCATTAAACATTTTTAAGCGGAAACTAATTGAAATTAACAAAACCAAAAGAATTACCTACGAGGATCTGATTAATTTAATGGAAATTTTGGAACAATTTTTAATCAATAATTCAAATGTAATGACAAGTATAAAAATAAAAGCAAATGATTCATCATCTGCAGAAAGTTTCATTATCCTAGTATTAAGCTCAAATTTAAATCTGGAAAACAGAAGTTTGTATTTAAAGAAGTATTTAAAGGTTATAAACGAAGAATTTTTAAAGTTTTTTAATGACATTGGATTTGCATTTGATAATAACACACGTGGCGTTAGCTTGATACAATGATATAAAATACAAAGCTGAATATACATATGTGCCTCAACCCAAATTCACTTTATTCATGTGGAAAAATATAATAATTTATTCATACAATATTTATTGGGGTAATTTTTGTATATTAGAAAAAATATATAAATGATAATTATATATAAGTCAATCTTATTAAATTAATTGCATTACCACCATTTTTTTGTTAAGCAACGATTTTTCCATAAAAATGTTTAAATTCAAAATGAATTAATTTTTATAAGCCATAGTAAGTTAATTGTAAAAAACATATTCCTAAGGGTAGAATTTAGGGGTAACTCTCAAAAGTCAAATGGGGACCTACTATTAATTTTTTACTATTAAATGGAGAATGGGTTAAACAAATTTTTTACTGATCGGTGACTAGATTTGTGTAATTGATTTTTGAGGTATTAACAGTTGATATAAATAGAAAAGGTGAGGAATGGGGTAGTTTTTAGCAGTGCTTTTTTTATATCATATCATGGAATTCTCTTACGTTGCGCAACTTGCTCACCAATATTTAAAATTTATAAAAACTGATAGAATATTGGTTATCGATCTGTCAACATTTAATTTAGCCCATTCTCCATTTAATAATAAATAATTAATAATAATTTCTTATTTAATTTTAGAAAGTTACCCCTTTAATGTACTTCGGATGCACATGACGTTATCAACCTATATGCAAGCGTATTGGGATCTCAATAATAAATCCACAATGCCCTAATGGTAATATTTGTCTCTACAACTCCTTGGTTCGAGGGTTCTACTAATCTCTCATCATACCTCTTTTTCTTACATTATTTCCAGGAACTTTAGATGACCGACAGTAGCAAAACTGCATGCACATTTTTTTCATCACAAAAACTACAAATTCTAATTTTGAAATACAAAAATTTTATAGACAATTAAATGATTCTAATAAAATATATGTAAAATATACCTATCGATTATTCATAATAATAAATTAAAATAACATAGTTGTAAATGATGTATAATAGAGTGTTATTGAACTATTAATGAAAATAAAATTTATGCTATAAAACTTACATTTTAAATTATTCTAATTAAATTTCTTAGTTATTACTTTTCTATTATAAAATTTATAATAATAATACTAGCATTACTATTATTAAAAATATTTGCACTAAATATAATAGATCTTTAACAAATAAATATTTATTTTTATCAATAAATTATCAGTTTTTATCATTAAAACAATAATAATAATATTAACTTCATATAATTACAAATTACAAATAATATAATAATAATAAATAAATATTATATAATGAGAGAAATAAAAAAACCATTGTTTTAATAACATTTTAAAAATAAAAACTACCCATTTTTCAATTATTTACATAATTTAAAAGATAATATCCGTGATAAAAATAACAAAAAATTAGTCATTTATTCATAAACTTTCATTTTATACTATTCAAGAATTTTTTCACTAATTATTTATATATCTTAATTATGTTTTGAAATTTTCTTCAATAGTTAATTTTTATACATTTTGAAAGCATATTTTAGATTATTTCACTTTAATAAGAAAAATATGATTTTATTTTTTTCAAATTTCAGAATAGCAACTTTTTTTTTTCAGAAAATTTGTTTGGGCCGATAACAAATTTAAGATAAGTATTTATTGAGTTACAAGCATTTCAATACATAGAGTGTGTATGTAGATCGGACGAAGTGCATATGTACTAGAATTAGCTGTCACCCAAAAAAATGTTCATTTAAGCAATTTTTAAATATATTATAGACTTTTTTATTTCTCGAGGAAATTTACCATGGTAAAAATTACTTCTAGGATCGCTCCTGTTCATATGCTCCTTTTATACTCACGGATGCAGACATTTCGGATGATAATTTGTTTTCATTTTAGCCAAGACGTGCTCAGAATATTTTATGGCAAGTTATAGAAAACAGTATTCAATAACAATATTATTATTCCTTTTAAATTATATCTTTTTACATAAATTGTTCACACATAAATTTATTTTCTATTAAAGATTTCGACACATACTCTTCTTCTGAATCCATCCTTGATTTTAACTGTAATATAATCAATAAAAACACAATATTTCATAAAGAAAATTTAGTAGTCCAAACTTGTTGCTGTAATTTAATTTAACAATTTTAAACTGTTAACTTCAGGTCAGACGTCCACTAACTTCGTATGAATATTTTTACTAAAATCATTTAATTTTAGATTATTTTGTTCAGCTTAGTCTTATTGCGATTCACTCTTAACAAAATTTTGCAGCATTACCTCTTTGGTAGAGCATGTGCCGCTTTAGTATGAATAGTTCTTAAGCACGTTTTAATTTTCATGCGTTTTGAAATATTGCAACTATCTCTTTCATTCACTAGACACATTTTTTTTTTGGTCTATCTTAACGCAAACACCGTACGAGTTGTGTGTTATGAGATCGTATCGATAGTCGATCGTGCTGGGCTCGCAATAAATCAATATTACATGGTTATTTAAATGAATACAACTACATTATAGACTTATAAACATTATGTACCCTACATTAGTAATTTAACTGGGCGGCCACAATCATGTAAATGAATAGTAATTTTTTTTTTATAATTAATAGGTACATGACCACCCTGATTCAGAATATCATACCATGCAAATATTTTTATCTATTGAGAGTTAATGAAAATTGTATTATTTACTTAATCTAAGTGGTAGCCCTAAATTCTTCAAAAAATCTTCCTTTGGTTATTGATTTTATATACTAATAAATATATTCATAACTGCTAACACTGAATACATAAGCTAATTTAGTCGTCAACTAGAGCCTATAAGCTATCATTAAATCATTTGTCTTGAGCCACGTGTAAGCTAACGTAGAAAACAAATATCAAACGATAATGCGGTTGCGTGTTACTCCGACAAACTTGAGAACAAAAAAAAATTGAGGACAATGTAAATAACCTCACGACCTGCGTATACATTGCATATCATTTGTAAATTATTCTTTAACACTAAGCTAGAGATCAAACGATTGTACAGTTCCAAAAATTGAACGCAACAATATTTCAAAATGACGTCGACTAAGTAGGTACTTTGACGTCATCCGTCCACAAATATTTCAAAGACAGTTATCACGTTACTTTAGTGTGTATTTTATTTTTTAAATATCTTGTTTTTTTCGCGTATAATTAAAATTCGTTAAAATATAATAGGCAAATACTGTTTAACTTTATTTTCGTTTTATACTCAAGGTTATTTGACTTCAAACATAACAACCAAAAGAGAACTTTTGCTGTGACGTTCCATCGTGTCTTGATTTTATTTTTAAACTCTCAGTTTCCTACGTCTGCACGGGGAATTTTTAATTGGTTTGATAAAAAACAATACCGAAAAGAGTAAAAATTGAATATTTTTTATGACATAATATTAATATTTTAGGATAAAAATTTTTTCAGTTACTGTTACGAAAATTTGCCCGATTTATGTTATTTTTCTATGACAGATTCATAAAAGAGTTTGCCAATTCATCATTACACATCAGAACTGCTTACTTATATTATTCACATGAAATTGGTTATAACGTATCCGTGATTCGTCCATAATTTGATATTTTATTTTTAACTCAACTTGGCCTCTTACAAGATAACCAAACCGCTGGCATGTCTTGTTTGTAGCGTGTCCTTTACTAGGCCATAAATCACAAGTCGGGACTATAAACGCATCTCTTAATCTAATTGAGAAAATGTCCGTATGTCAATTATTATATTTGCCAAGCAAAACAATAATAATGGGCGGAATATTAAGAGTCAGAAAGTTCAAAGCACTTAATGGAAATCAAACGGACCGATGACGATAGGTTCGTATTATGAATAATATGAAGTCCTTAATGGTTATACCTGAATCTGTTGAACTAGTGTATCATGTTAAAGATGATACACTAAACAAAACAATGCGCTCCTGTGCTCCAGAGGACAGAGAAAATTCTTGTTAATATTAACTTGAATTCAAAGCAACTGTTGCATGTAAACGAGCATTACAATAATTGTAATGCCAGTTTCATGTACAAATTATCGGTTTATGATATGCAACGCGATTCTTTCATTATAAACATCTTATTTAATCGAAAAATAAAAATAAAAATTGATAATTTTATTTATTATTCTAAGTAGAAACTTACATTAATAACTAGTTTATTTATTAGATATCAATCTAACTAAAAAAATGATTCCTCGATAGTAAATTTTGGACCAATATTTTAGATGTTATTAACAATTTAAAATAATGACTATAAGTAAGAAGTGTAGGTACTGACTATTTTTGTCACTAGATATTTCTCCTTCCACCTAGACATATAAATAGATATTTAACTTGTTGATAAAAATGCCTACGTGATATATATATATGTTTAAATAAAAACTGCACAGGTTTATTTAATACCCGATATTTATGGAAAACGATGATAATTGGGATCAATAAGTAGCACCGAACGTTTATGTTTTGATAGCAAAAAAGAGAGACCACTTGAATTGTGGGGTACCACTACCATGGTAAATACTCATTGACGACTAATAAATCATTCTATGTCGGAAATACACGTAATGCGTNTATGTTTTGATAGCAAAAAAGAGAGACCATTGAATTGTGGGGTACCACTACCATGGTAAATACTCATTGACGACTAATAAATCATTCTATGTCGGAAATACACGTAATGCGTTCAATATTGATTTGTCGTGTTCGATTATCATATGCGCCACTTTCCATAATATGCGCTTTACAACGAACGGTTTAAGTATAAAGCGAAAACCCACTTGGTCTCAGATTGTGGTCAACTGAGGTCACCGGCAGAAATTTTTCTGCTTTTGCGACGAGAGTCCAATACGTTCGTGTATGGGGGGCCTAAGACATCAGGCGTATGTGCGTTTAAATGGAAAGCCATGCATTTTAACGTGTGGCCGCATTGGACGAACACCACAGTTGTGGACACCAACACAGACCGTATTAAATATTGATGAATGTTATCCCAAGATAAATGCATTATTTATGGACAACCGAGACGACGACGTTGTTCACTGTGACTCAGTAAACAATATTATGAACGAGACGGATTATTTTATATACATGTACTAAATTATTACACTCCATTAAGTATTCATCTAATGACCATCTTCATTGACGGTATGCTTGTTCCTTATCGGACAATCCACCAAGAGGTGGACACATAGGAGCATTTTCTAAGAAACAAATCGGTCTGTCGAGGTGAAAACTGCTTACATAAGAAGTTTGGCAATTACTAAACACTTGTTATAAAACATAAACAATAATTCATTGTAATTGTATGACAAAACTGTAATTTGAAAATACATGGACAATATTTCATAATTATTTATAATATTTCACTCTATTTTGCTTAACTGGACAGATATTAGCTACAGGAGAAAATCAAATAGAAACTTCGCTATAAACACTATTGTGAAGATTATTTATATCCAAATGAAATAATACTTGATAAGAATCAATAAATTAGAATACTTGAACCATTTACACTATTCTTTATTAGTAACTCAAATTAATTTGTAATTAGTGTCTGTGGTGAATCCACCCCAAAAATGGAAGATTTATTCTTAATGCTTAATTAAATCAAAACAATAAAAGAGAATAAATATTTCAAAGAACGAGATAATTGAGGGTTACATTGGTTTTATAAAAGAGTAAAAAGACGTTTCTTTAAAAAAAAGAAACCGAATTTGAGTTCAATGCAGACATACGTCTCACCAAATTTTAAAAATCTTAATACATATGGAAAAACTGTCAAGATCGGATCCCAAGTGAATTGAAGACTTTTTTAAGATTTTAACTATATTCAACCTAATCAATAAAATATAGCTAACAGAGCATAAATTTAATATACTTCTAAATAATAAAAAAAACATTGTTCAATGTTGGCCAATGGTCTTAGCTGCTGGGGAATATTTTCTTAAATAAAAATATATTTTTTTAGATAAATTAAAAATATATCTATTTTATAAATATAAAATTTTTAGTGTAAATATTAAATTTTATTTTTACAAAAAGTTTTATTAAACAATTAGTTTTATGATGTTACATTTACCTTTTATAGAATCACTTGGATCTATGGTTCAAATAAACTGTACACTATCATTTAAATTCGCTTATAAAAATATACTTCTACTATCTAATATTAAATGGTTGAGTATTACTATTTATTAAATCGCTACATATTATTTATAAAGATTTATAATCTATCAATTGAATCAAATATAAATCTAAATGAGTGTAATATTAACACACATGTATTTTGAAAATTTTGAATTTAATATATGATTTTAAATAATAAAAAATCCATCACAGTTGGGTCGTGGCTTAAATGGGTCAAATTTAATCATATCTAACAGTGATTAAAATCACTATCATAAAAAAACGCTTCGATGCAAATCTGTAGATAATGTTTAATTTAAAAAAATTAATGAATTATTCCAAAATCTCCTATTTCCTTATTTATATCCTGATTACAAGTTTTATGATTTATAAGTGTAATATATGAATATATATATAATATATATATAATAATAATATATACATACATAAAGGGAAATGGTTTTATAAAAAAAAAAGTATGTCGAATGAAAGAGGTATATAAATAGTATTTATCATAAAAAATTTTAATTGATTCATATATTTTTCAAAAAGTTATGGAATTATAAAATTAAAAATATAAAAAAGAATTTGTTTACAAAAATATTACTTTTTATTAACTTTGATGCCCGTTTTCACCATGAAAACAAAATAAAGTAAAAAAACACATCATAGTAAAATTAATATCTTCTCAGCTTTGCATTAAAGTTAAATGTGCGAAGAAAAGTCGTTGTACTTTGTTAATATTTTAATTTAAGAAACATTTTGCACATTAAATGTAATAAATATGGAAATAGGAAATATTCAAGATGTAAATTAGTGGTCTTATAGAAGCTTGGTCCTTCAAATATAAAATTAATCGCTCCGAAACCTAATGTAATTTAAATAAAAAATAATTTAT